GTGATTTCTTATCGCTCATTCTTCATTTATTTTTATTACTCACTGAGTTGGAGTACTCACTTTATTCCCTGCACCCTGTGTGCAGATTCAGGAGCTTAGGGTCCCTCCAGTGAGGGTTGATCGCTCCCAGCGGGCTATTCGGAGTCCACTAGGTAGTTGCTCGGCGTTCGCAGCCTAGTGTTTCTCCCTTCTATCTTACTCTCCATTTCTAGTTCTTTAATATACTGTATAAACTCTTTCATACTCTTAGACTTATGTTAGATACTCATGACTAGTAACATCCCGATGTCGGGCTATGTTGGTTTTCCACAAATTGTACTAGTTCACTTCTATTTTGGGATTATTAGCATGATAATGACTTAAATTGTATTATTTTAATTGTTTAAAAATGAATTGGGTGTTATGTCGGCTGGCCATGTCTTGATGAGAGGCTTCATCACAACCGGGTCTGGGTTTAGGGTCGTGACAGGTAGGGTATGAAGGTTTTGAACGAGGTTCTAATAGATATAAGGTTTGTTGCCGACACCGGATTTGTTTTGGGCCATAATAGTGGTCAGTAGTTCTTACTGTGAATATCGAAGTAATGGGGTATATCATGTGATTACATCTTGTGTTATGGTTGTGACTTGATACAGCTTGTTTAGACTTATACAGTGTGTGGTTGTGGGATTCGGGTCTTCTAATGAGTTATGGATGGTAGAGATTGAGTTCTAAGGTTTAAGGACCAAGGTTGAAATAAGGATCTCTAATTATGTTAGTTTAGCAGGCTTATGTGGATCAAGGTAACGTGGGATCACCCTCGAGTTTATGCGTATTAGGGTTACACCATGATTTGATAGCTTTGAAACGACTCCTGACACGTTCGTCCGAATGTGTGTTTAAGTGGTGGATGATGTAACGACCCGACTTGTCGTTTTGAGTATTTAGACTTCCCTCGATAGTTTACGAGCATGAGTAGCTCTGCATGATGTATTTTGACTTATGTGAATCATTAGTTTTGGTTTTCAGATTATTCGGGACTGATTTGAGAATGATTCGCAACTAGGGAGCTTTAAATTTGAAAGAGTTAATCGAGTTTGACTTTTTAGTATTTGACATCGGATTAGAATTTTGATGGTTCCGTTAGCTCTGTTGGAAGACTTTGGACTTAGGAGCGCATCTGGATTGTGATTTGGGTCCGTAGTTGAATTTGGCTCGACATGGCAAAAGTTGGATTTTTTGGAAAGTTTAACTGAAGTGAACTTTTTGGTATCAGGGTCAGATCTCAATTTCAGAAATTGGAGCAGGCCCGTAATATCAAATGTGACTTGTTTGCAAAATTTAAGGATAATCGGACGTGATTTGATAGGTTTCAGCATCGACTGTGGAAGTTTGAAGTTCCAAGTTCATTGATTTGTGGATTGAGGTGTGATTCTCCGTTTCGATGTTGTTATATGTGTTTTGAGGCCTCAAATAAGTGCGTGTTATGTTATGGGACTTGTTGGTATGTTTGGACGTAGCCCCGAAGGGCTCGGGTGAGTTTTGGATAGGTTTGGGTTGTGTTGCGCTCGTTTTTTTCTAATGTTTCGACGTTGTTTCTTCAAGCATAAATGGTACTACATGCAGCAAATGAGCTCCAATTTCTATTTTTATTGCAGTATTAGATCTGTATCGTAATTACAGAGTCATATAAAAAAGAATCTTCGAATTTGGACATAGTATGAGGAGTTTATGATCATTTTACTAAGAATTGGGTTGTCATATTTTCAGATTAATTACGAAATTGCCACTAACTTCGTATTTAAAAATCTGCATTATTTCCAAATATTGAAACCAACATATTTTCTTTAATATAAGGTCAAATGGAGTGATTCAAGAGCCTAACTTGACTAGAATTTCACAAGAAATCTATTGGAGGTATCAAAAGCGAGTTTCGAGATTATTTGGCACAAAAAAGGAGGCAGAACAATGTTAAAATGAGGGTTTGTTCATTTAATATATTTTGAGTTGGGGAGCTTGGAATTGGAAAATTGTTTAGGTGATTTTCACCATATGAATTGGGGTAGGTGTTCTCAACTCGGTTTTGGTTATATTCCACGAATCCATCATCGATTTTAGCTTTTAGTTGATGAATTTAAAGAGAAAATTGAGGGTTTTGGCCTTAAGTTTCATAATATGAATTTTTGAGTTTTGAACATCGATTTGAAGTCGTAATTGAGTGAAACTAGTTGGACTTGTAATTGAAAGGATTGTCGGATTTTGTGAGTTTTGTTGGGTTCCGAGGCGTGGGCCTGAGTGTAATTTTTCGGCCGGATTTGGGATTTGATTTAGGATTCGATCTTTATCATTTGGAATTGTTTTCTTGAGCTTTATTTGATGTATTTGAGTTTCTTTTGGCTAGTTTTGAGCCGTTTGGAGGTCACTACGCGCGTGATGGTATTTTTGGAGCATCAATTGGCTTGCTCGGTAATGTTATTGGCTTGTTCGAGGTACGTGTTTTGCCTAACTTTGTTGAGGGAATTTTTTCTCCTATTTGTCAATGTTTTCTACATGCGGGGGTGATACATATATGAGGTGACGAGCGTATATGTATGTGCCTGGGTTAATCATGCTCGTGGGTGGATTATGTTATATTTGTGTTTGTAGAATTTCTAGAATTTCTTGACCTTCTTGCTTCATAACTCACTTGACTTCTAGATATTGAGAACATAGTATTAAATGTTAGAATAGAGACTTAGTCTAATATAACTTGATCAAATTTGATAGAATTCTTAGAATACATTGATGCATCTAATTTTGTCATCTCATAAATCATTAAAACATTGCTACAGCCGGTATTTTGAGCTAGATTCCATACTTGTGTTGTTGATAAATTGAGGAATTTATGGAAGTACTTGAATTATATGGCCCTTGAGGGTTCATTGAATCATTGTTGACTTGTAATGAAGTGAATGAGAATTTGTTTGGAATATTCGTTGAACACTCTCCTCGATGTTATTTATACTTCTTGTCTTGCCATTTTATTGATATTCATATGCTTGGTAAGGAAGAGTGTAAAGCACGAAGGATGATGTCGTGCCATTTTATATTCATTATCATGTGATAAAGAGTGTAAAGCACGAAGGATGATGTCGTGCCATTTTATATTCATTATCATGTGATAAAGAGTGTAAAGCACGAAGGGTGATGTTGTGCCATGTTATTGAGAATAAAAGCACGAAGGGTGATGCCGTGCCAAATTATTTGAGAGTAAAAGCACAAAGGGTGATGTCATACCATTTCATTTATATTGTTATGATTGTGTGTTATCGTGAGGTCATGGCACGATGGGTGTTTCCATGTAGGCGAGAATGAGGGACATGCATTATGTTTGATATCAATCTTACGTGTATACGTTCATGTCTTTACCTTGAACTGTTATTGTCATAATTATAGATCTTATGTGACTTGTTGCTATTGTTCTATCATTGATCTCTATTTCATTTGTTGTTGTGTTGCTCATATCTTATACTTGCTTAACTTGCAAATATCATGCCTATTTCATGCTTTTATAATTATACTCATGTTGTATCTATTCTGTTGCACTTTAGTATAAGCCTTCCACCATGTTAGTCATTCACGCCCTTACTTGTAAAAAACATGTATTTCTATCTTATTTATTATATTTGTACTTAGGCCTCCAATATGCTAGTTAATTGAAGTTGATATTCTTTGTTTTCCAATTGTTGTTATTACTCACGTGCTTTTCGCTTAATCATTTATTGTTGCCCACATGTGTATCCTTGTCCATTGTTGTACTTGCGTATTTCCTACTCTGTAATTCCTGTTATTGATATTTCTATCATCTGGTTGGTTCTGTTACTCGTACATTTGGGAGGATGAATTGAACGCATGAAGGATGTTGCGGTGCTAATTGATTTGTCACAAAAAAATTTATATATATATATATCGTGAGGCAGAGATAGAAGCATGAAGGGTGTTACCATGTCGTTTGACGTGATATCTTGGATATACTTCTTATACCAGGAAAGATTGTAAATATACTACTGTGATTCCTTTTAGTAATTGTTGACTGTCTCGCGGAGTTGTATACGGTACTTTTATCTGTTATGTTTTGAACTGCTTTTACTATTAGTCTAATGTACAGTTTATAACAATAAGCATCTTTTAACTAAAAGCAACGTTACTGCTTCGACGAGGTTAGACAAAATACATACCAGTATATGAGGTCGGTTGTACTTATACTACACTTCTGTACGATGTGTATAGATTTCTGAAGTTGAGCTACTGGTGATGTCGGGTGCTGATTCTGAAGATGTCCGCGCATTCGGATGTAGCTACCTCTTATCCTTTGTAGCTTAGCTTTTGTTATTTTGTTTATGTATCTTTCAAACAGAACGTGTATTTATTCATACTAGTTTTGTAAATGCCAAGTCTTAAAAGCTCATAAGTCGTACTACCAGGTCTTGGATAAATTTGTAAATGTTCAGTTATCTATTCTCTATTTTCTTATAATCTCAGATGAGTAGTTTTTGTTTGTTAGTTGATTTACCTAGCGGGTTGAGTTAGGTGTCATCGCGATTGGTGATTTTGGGTCGTGATAGTTTTTTTTATTTGAATTAAATTATTTTATAATGCAAAAGTTAAGTACAAAAAAATAGAAACATAACTCATATGGCTATCTTAGGAATGATCTAGCATTAGCCCAACAAAAAATTACAATATTTCACCACTATCTTAAATACTGAAAAGCAATATCACGGATATTGATTGCCAGATATTTGCAAACACTAAAACGTAAATAGGCAGCTGTATTATTTATGAGCAAATGGAGTCTACTTAAATTATTTGGTCATCAATAATATATATGTGTCAAAAAAGCTAATAGGGGCCTCCTCCTATTTGTTTATGAATATTTTACGTCTCTCATCGGTCCTACAAGAGTGTGTGAATCATATTGAAGCTTCATAATAACTTGTTACCTGCAATATGATTTTATAATAGCTTAACTTGTCTATATAAGCTCATAATATGCTTTAGCAAAGATCAACTAATAGCAATAGCTTCTGAGTCATACATATTCCTAGCGAAGTGACCATGAAATTGCTTGTTGCTTTAATCCTGCTCTTTTCACTTGCCCTGGTAAGTTTTCATAGATGATTAATTCTAGGCCTCCTTTTTGGCGGTTTATTATTAATTACTACTTCTTTCTCAACTGCCTTGCCTTTCGAATTACAATGTCTTTTCATATCAGATTTTAACAATTGAATTATTTAACTTATACTTCATCTCTTTCAATTTATGTGAACATATTTGACTGGGCACAAAGGTTGTTAAAAAGACAAAAACTTTTAAAATTTATAATCTTAAACATACCATAATATTTGTGTGGCAATAAGATTGTTAAAACCCATGGTCTTAAAAATTTTGTACCATTTGTGTGGTTATCATGAAAATCTTTTATTAAAGGTAATATGGAATCCTAAAACTAAAATAGTTTCCTTATCAGAAATGGGGTCATACTGAATCAAGAGGAGAAAGGTTCATGAAAAATTGAAACAGATGGAATAGTATACATTTTCACTATTTAAAAAAATGCTTGGTTCTTGAGCATAACTAACATTTGGATTTTGCACAAACCTAACCATTTAAGATCATATAGCTAGTGAGGGGTTTAACCTATTTAAACAGACCATTCATTTGTTTTGGCATATCTTTATCGAACATGTGTAAATAATAATAGAAATTTTCTGCAAATTACTCTTCAAATGCACTAGAATTTTACATAGAACTTTATCCGCCAATCTCTCTCTCTCTCTATATATATATATATATATATATATATATATAAAAGAGGGATATCAAAGAGTGATGTGGTATGTCTCAATAGCTAGGAATCATATTTATCTTTTTTCTCCTTTTTTTAATTTTTCTCTTATTTTAATTTTTACCTCATTAATTAATTGAAAAGGCACCTCCCCACTAATTAAGGTTAAGGAAATAACTGTTACACACTAAGCCCTTTAATAACAAAACGTTGACGAATGCAAAACATCATCATTAGAGATTGGAAACAAATCATTCATTTCTACATATTAAAAGTCCTTAAATTCACTTGCTATTAAGAAAAAGAAAATTCCAACCCGCCTTCCAATTTTGCATTCTACTTCAAAGTCCTACGGAATCTTTCACAACTTGTTGGAATTACGTGTTAAATTTTTATATTCTTATTTCAATTGTTTTCATTTAACTTTCTTTTGTAAGTAATACTTTCTTCATTTTCAGTGAAATACCTTCTTCATGATGTCATCGGACATTAATTGCGTGCCTTGAACTTCTTTACAACGAAGTGCTACTTCGACATGATTTTGGTACAGATCTTTTTAAATTTTCTAGCTTTTCTAATTTCGCGTTACTTTTGAAGAATACTTGAAGAAATTAGCATATGTAATTTTTCTTTTTATGATGCACATAATGACTATGATCATATATATAATGGCTGCTAATCTTTTTATGATGCAGAGGAAGGATTTTGAAATTATTGATAATTATTGTTATGTTTCCATTGTTTTTTATATCGTTTTTTCATATATTTGCTTTTAAAAAAAATAATCATATCTTTCAATCTTATTTAGCCTCACTCTCTTTCTCTTCTAAGAGTCATGTCTTCTAATCTTCATAATTAATCTCACCCTCTCTTGCCATTCCTTCTCTCACCCGTCCTTCACCAAATGAAATCTCCCTTTTCGTTCATAAATCTTCTGTTATTACTACCACCGATTTAATATATAGAGGAGATAAATTCGATTGAAATCTTTTCCCCCCTTTGTGTTGTTTATCTTTTTATAATTTGTTTGACCTAGAATATTGTATTTTTATTTTTTGATTTTTTATTGATGTATTATTTTTACTTGATAATAATTGTTTTTAAAAGGTTAGTTGTTCTCTTCTATTTCTCTAATTTGGTGGGTGTGTTTTTATTTCAATGGTCCATTCATGTAATTTTTTTTTTTTTTTGCTGCTCACTACAGTTTTCAATTGGTTTCTCTTCTTCTTCGGTTTATTTTTTTGGGACCTAGAAATGGTTAGATCATCTAAATCACTAAACCATATTTTCTCAAAGTTGATTGTTCTTTTTCAAATATTTAAAATTCTTTTTTAATTGCAATGTCTAATATCAAGTATAAACCCTTCATAATCTAATATATATCGGTATTTAAGTAATATGTCTTTATTTTGCCCAAAAAAATATATTTATTATGCTTTTTAGAAGATAGATGCATGAACTAACCAAATCATCGAATTTGAAGTTATTTTATCCAATTTATTTATCTTGCAACACAGCTAAAAAGTTCTAAATTATTAAAGTGTTGCAAACTGTGTAACTTTCGTGCCAATTGAGTTGCGATAGGGGGAAAAAGCAAAAGAAAGGAAGGGAAAGAAAATGTAAAGGGAAAAATATTACAAAAGAGATACGGTAGAGGAAAAAGAAAATATAGGAAGAGAAGAAAAGAAAAAAAAAGAACAATATATTAAAGTTTAATGTAAAAGAGTAGGAAAAAAATATTTTAATGAAAGACATGCCGTAAAAAATAAATTTTTAACTTTTTTCCTGTAGAAAGCAAATACACTTCCTACATGGCATCATGAGATGTCTACTTTTATAAGCACAAAAATATGTCTTGCGCAAAGTTTAATACTTGAAACGTGTTGCTAAGTTGAGGTGTTATTTATGTAGTATTCCTTCTGTTTACATTTAAGACAGCGAGAATATTATGAAAGTATTAAGTATTTAACTCGAATAAAAAGAAATTGAATACTTAAAAGGAAAAAAGTTAGATACTTAAAATAAATTTATAGCAGAAATTAAAAATAATGCTTTTAAATTTGTTACACATAACCATAAAGAGATTAATATTTCTTTTTATCTTAGAAAATTAAAAAGACTTAAGTGATGTTAAGTCTTAATAATAAAATAGATTACAACTTAAAATCTAATCTGTTAAGATTTCAAGACTAAAATATTCGTGTAGCAAAAAATATTATTTAGGTTTCTAATTACCTCGCGAAGCGCGGACATATCTACTAGTACTAAATATTTACATGCCCGGTACCTACAAAGGTAGATCTAATATTAGAATTCTGTGGGTTCTTTATGTTATTAAACTGTATTTGTAAAATAATTCTGGAAATATAAATGAACATAAACAGAAATGAACAACGAAATAACAAACCAATTCGAGCCCACTGAATTCACAGTGTTTCCTTAAGGAATTTAATCCCTTCCTAGTATACAAGGTTATGGATTATTTCCTCCCAGGATAAAAAGAATTATACACTGGTGTAGTGGTACTTCAAACCCCAGTGTTTCAGCGAACACAAAGTTCGGTAGCAAATCACACTTACTGTTACTTTGTTTGATGCTAAAAGTATGCAGAAGAAGAAGGAGAAACACAGAAAATCGTATTGAAATTCTGAGCAGAATAATATTGTATTTATAGCCAAAGTTGGGCTGAAATCGGAAGAGGTGCAACTCTTCAGAATGGATGTTTATGCAAAACGGCCTCAGCATAAATGTCATTACATAAATGGCTATTTACTCAACAATAAAGAGGAAAAATAAAGAGGAAAAATTGAAGAGGGTAGTTAATTTTCTGTTACCAAAACAGAAAAACGGATTGGAGGATTTAATATTAATATTTATTTTGATATTAATATTCTGTTATTAAAACAAATATTTAATAACATTTCTGGTAATATTTTACTTTTAACAAATAAATTTTGTCCAAAAAATTAATCAATCAATCATTTGACCAAATCCGAAGCCGAAGCGGAGCCGAGCGAGCGTCGACAATGACGATGACGCGAGACTTGTCTTCTTCTCAACTTTTTAAGAGATAGAAGAAGAGCAATTGTTTATATACCCATAAAAACATTCCTCTTCCAATATGGGACAATGTCCCTTTGTCGGGGGGGGGGGGACTTAAAATTTCACTCAAAAATTTCATTTTCCTCCATTTCTCATTCACACTCTTTTAAATATTTAATATAAGTAAATACATAAAACCCAACAACCCCTACATGAATGAGGAATGGTATATCACGGAAATATGCATGAAAACTGTGTGATTCGCAAGCAAGGATTAATTGCATCTGGATAAGTAAGTTTTCCTTTGAACTTTCCGTAGTGAACTTATGTCGGATATACTCGATCAATCGATAGATTTGATATCTTTGAACCGTCGAACTTTGGTGTATGCCTGGACAACCATAAGTCACACAACCAACCCTTAACCGTCTTTGGTTCTCATTGTTGTGTTCGTTTCAGCCATGAACACCGCATGGTTTCATAAGTGCATCGAGAACTGGCCTTACAAAATTCTCCTTGCAGCGGCTAACACTTCACACTTACATATGTGAGTCCTAAACGTGTCATCCTGTAGATACACTATTTGATATAACCCGCATCAAATTTAGAAATCATTAAAAAGCATTAATGTTTTATCCTTAGTACTGGACATTGTCTCATCACAAGAATGGACCAAAAGTTTAGTTGACAATGTTGAACTGTCATTAATGACTTTGTTTGATCTCCTTGAACCTAGATCTTGGGATCTCCAGTCTTCTAGGTAGAGTTACCTCCACTATGACTTGTTCTCGGCCACAGTCTCATTCTCCTTGATGATTTTTCAACTACCTCTCTAATTAGGCCTTTTATAAGTGGATCTGACACATTATCACTTGATTTTACATAGTCAATCGTGATAATTCCTCTAGAGAGCAATTGTCTAACGGTTTTATGTCTTCGTCCTATATGACGAGATTTACCGTTATGCATAACGCTCCCAGCCTTTCCAATTGCCGCTTGACTATCACAATGTATGCATATTGGTGCCAACGGTTTGGGCCAAAATGGAATATCTTCCAAGAAATTCCGGAGCCATTCAGCTTCTTCACCGGCTTTATTCAAGTCTATAAACTCAGCCTCCATTGTAGAGCGGGCAATACAAGTTTGTTTGGATGACTTCCAAGATACCGCTCCTCCATCAATAGTGAATATATATCCACTTGTGGACTTAGAATCAGTTGAACCGGTGATCCAATTTTCATCACAATATCCCTTATCACAACAGGATATTTACGGTAGTGCAAAGCAAAGCTCTGGGTATGTTCTAAATATCCCAAAACTCGTTTCATTGTCATCCAATGAGATTGACCTGTATTGCTCGTGTATCGACTCAATTTACTTATAGCACAAGCTATATCTGGTCGTGTACAATTCATGATGTACATTAAGAATCCCAACACACGAGCATAATCCAACTGTGATATGTTTTGGCCTTTGTTTTTGCTAATGCAAGATTCACATCAATTGGAGTCTTTGCAACTTTAAACCCTAAGTGCTTGAACTTTTCAAGCACTGTCTTAATATAATGAGATTGTGACAATGCCAGACCTTGAGGAGTCTTATGGATCATAATCCCCAGAATTAAATCAGCAACTACCAAGTCTTTCATATCAAACTTGCTAGTTAGCATACGCTTAGTAGCATTTATGTTGGCAATGTCATTACTCATTATGAGCATATCATCCACATATAAGAAAATAATGATTATGTGATTTGAAACATTTTTAATGTACACACATTTATCACATTCATTTATCTTAAACCTATTTGACAACATTGTTTGGTCAAATTTTGCATGCCATGGTTTGGGTGCTTGTTTTAGTCCGTAAAGGGACTTAACAAGTCTACAGACCTTCGTTTCTTTACCTGGAATCACAAACCCTTCAGGTTGTTCCATGTAGATTTCTTCCTCCAACTCTCCATTTAAGAAGGCTGTCTTAACATCCATTTGATGAATTTCAAGACCATAAACTGCAGCTAACACTACTAACGTCCGTATGGACGTAATTCTTGTAACTGGAGAGTATGTATCAAATTAGTCAAGACTTTCTCATTGTCTATACCCTTTGACCACAAGTCTTTCCTTATATTTGTCAATAGTGCCATCATCTTTCATTTTCCTCTTAAAAATCCATTTAGAACCCAACGGTTTATTTCCAGGAGGAAGATCAACCAATTCCCATGTATGGTTGTTCAATATGGATTCTATTTCACTATTGACTGTCTCTTTCTATAACAATGATTCCGAAGAAGACATAGCTTCTTTAAATGTTTGAGGCTAATTTTTCAAAAAAAAAATCACAAAATCTAGTCCAAATGAAGTAGACGTTCTTTGACATTTACTACGTCTTGGATCCTCCTGGTTAAGTGTACTTTCTTTTGTTTCTTCCCAAGGTCGTTTAGATCCTTCACCAATCGACTCACATTCCTTTTTATACGGATATATATTTTCAAAGAACTCAACATTATTTGATTCTATAACTATATTTATGAATGTCGGGATTTTTTTGATTTATGAACAAAAAATCAATATGCTTTACTATTAGTTGCATATCCTATGAAAACACAATCAACGGTTTTCGGTCCTATTTTTATCCTTTTGGGTTGAGGAACTTGCACTTTTGCCAGACACCCCCACACTTTAAAATAATTCAAGTTGAGCTTTCTTCCTTTCTATTTTTCATATGGAATGGATTGTGTTTTGCTATGTAGTACTCGATTTAGTATTCGGCTAGCCGTAAGAACGGCTTCCCCCACAAGTTCTGTGGCAAACCAAAACTTATCAATAATGTGTTCATCATCTCCTTTAATGAACGATTCTTTCTTTCTACAATTCTATTGGATTGGGGCGTGTAAGGGGCCGTTGTTTGATGAATAATTCCATATTCTAAACATATTTGTCCAAAAGGAGATTCATATTCACCACCCCTATCACTTCTTATCATTTTGATTTTTTTGTCAAGTTGCGTTTCAACTTCATTTTTGTATTGCTTGAATGTGTCTATTGCTTCATCTTTACTATTAAGTAAGTAAACATAGCAAAATGTTCATTCTATCGTCAATAAAAGTTATGAAATACTTCTTTCCATCGCGAGATGGTATTGACTTCATGTCACAAATATCTGTGTTAATTAAGTGTAAAGGATTTAAATTCTTTTCAACTGACTTATAAGGATGTTTAACATACTTAGATTCCACACATACTTGAAATTTTGATTTGCAAATTCAAACTTAGGTAATACTTCCAAATTAATCATTTTCCGCAAGGTTTTATAATTAACATGACCCAAACTTATATGCCATAATTCATTTGACTCAAGTAAGTAAGATGAAGCTGAAGTTTTATTATTATTTTCAAAAACCATTATATTCAGCTTGAAAAGGTCCTTAGTGAGGTAACCTTTTCCTACAAACATCTCGTTCTTACTTATTACAACCTTATCGGATATAAATACACATTTAAAACCATTCTTAACAAGAAGTCCACTAGAGACTAAATTCTTCCTAATCTCGAGAACATGAAGGATGTTGTTCAAAGTCACCACTTTGCCGGAAGTCATTTTGAGAAATATCTTCCCATATCCTTCAATCTTGACCATTGCAGCATTTCCCATAAAAATCGTCTCATCGGGTCCAACAGGAGCATAAGTAGAAAAAGCTTCTCTAACAGCACAAATATGGCGAGTGGCTCCAGAATCAATTCACCACTCTTTAGGATTGCCCACCAAGTTGCACTCAGAAAGCATGGCAAACAATTCATCAACATCATCATGCTTTTCAACCATGTTTGCTTGACCCTTCTTCTTGTCTTTCTTCGAAGCATGACACTCCGTAGATTTGTGTCCGTCTTTTCTACAGTTGTAGCAATTTCCACTTAACCACTTCTTTCTTGGGTTGTATTTCGGTCTAGAAGCCTTCTTCCTCTTTTTGTTCTCTTCAACAATATTTGCTCCCATTATTGTTGAGTTTCCACGGCCTCTCTTTTCAGCAGCTTTGTTGTCCTATTCGATTTTCAACCGAACAATGAGATCTTCAAGGGACATCTCCTTGCGTTTGTGTTTCAAGTAGTTTTTGAAGTCCTTCCACAAAAGGAGGCAACTTCTCAATCATCGCTGCTACTTAGAATGCTTCATTGATGACAAGACCTTAAATAAAATTTTTGTTAGTAAAAATACTAACATTACTACTTTCAACATCAGTATTAATTTGATTTATAACTTCAACAAGGAGATCGTGAATAATCACTTGCAATTCCTGGACTTGGGTAATAACAGACTTGGTATCTACCATTTTGTAGTCCAAAAACTTTGCAGCAACAAACTTCTTCAACCCGGCATCTTTAGTTTTGTATTTCTTTTCAAGCGCAGTCCACAGTTCCTTTGACGTTTTCACGCCACTGTAGACATTATACAAAGCATCCTCCAGCCCGCTTAGAATATAATTCTTGCACAAAAAATCTGAATGCTTCCACGCCTCAATCACGAGAAAGCGTTCAGTTTCTGGAGTTTCATCGGACAGCACAGGAACATCTTCCTTGATGAACTTCTGGAGACTTAGAGTAGTCAAGTAAAAGAACATCTTTTACTGCCAGCGCTTGAAATTAATCCTGAAAAATTTTCCGGGTTTCTCTGTCGGTGCCAATGCTGCCGGTGTCGTTCGGCTTGTTGAGGCATTGGCAGTCACCATTGGAATAAGTTGGTTCACATTATCATTAGTCATTTCTGTAAAAGAATGACACAAACGTTAAAATCACGTAAATTTTAATTGAGTACAAAACCACAAAAGTTTTACTCTCCAGAAATAGTGCGTACAAATATAGAAATATATTAAATTTCTTAAGCTTGTTATTAAACTGTATTTGTAAAATAGTTCTGGAAATATAAATGAACATAAACAGAAATGAACAACGAAATAACAGAAACCAATTCGAGCCCACTGAATTCACAGTGTTTCCTTAAGGAATTTAATCCCCTCCTAGTACCCAAGGTTATGGATTATTTCCTCCCAGGATAGAACGAATTACACACTGGTGTAGTGGTACTTCAAACCCCAGTGTTTCAGCGAACACAAAGTTCAGTTGCAAATCACATTTACTGTTGCTTTGTTTGATGCTAAAAGTATGTAGAAGAAGGAAGAGAAACTCAGAAAATTGTATTGAAATTCTGAGCAGAATAGTGTTGTATTTATAGCCAAGGTTGGGCTGAAATCGGAAGAGGTGCAACTCTTCAGAATGGTTGTTTATGCAAAACAGCCTCAGCATAAATGTCATTACATAAATGGCTATTTACTCAACAATAAAGAGAGAAAATTGAAGAGGGTTGCTAATTTTCTGTTACCAAAACAGAAAAACGGATTGGAGGATTTAATATTAATATTTATTTTAATATTAATATTCTGTTATTAAAATAAATATTTAATAACATTTCTGTTAATATTTTACTATTAAAAAATAAATTTGGTCCAAAAAATTAATCAATCAATCATTTGATCGAAGCTAAAGCCGAAGCCGAAGCCGAACTCGAGCCGAGCGACGACGACGACGACGATGCGAGGCTTGCCTTCTTCTCAACTCTTTAAGAGTTATAAGAAGAGCAATTGCTTATATATCCATAAAAAAACTCTTCCTCTTCCAATATGAGACAATGTCACATTGCCAAGAGAGGAAAACTTAAAATTTCACTCAAAAATTTCATTTCCCTCCATTTCCCATTCACCCTCTTTTAAGTATTTAATATAATTAAATACATAAAACCCAACACTTTATTTTAGGACGATCTCAATTTTTAATAACTGAGTTCTGAATTTAATTTCTGTATATACTTAGTGAATTTCTTGATACGTACATAAAATTTTGGCAAACATTATTGGGTTCTGCAGAACCCATATATTAAAGCCTACATTTTCCCTTGCATGTACTAAATACTTGTGCATATATATACACACACACATTATGTACTCGAACATAAAGAATTTCATACATCATATATTTAAAAGTCTTTTTATGGTCTCTCTTTCTCGGGCAGTACACAAGCAGCACTTATGCAATAAAAGACCCTGGAGAATACTGGAGAGCTATGATGAAAGATGAGCCAATGCCTGAAGCAATCAAACATCTTATGCCTCGGCATTCAGTTCCTCTCTCCAAAGAGAAAACTGATTGTTACACATCATTTTCTGTTGGAGATGAAGCCTTTGAACCAAGGCCTAACTATTTGTCTACCACGACGACGCCAAGTTGGAAGAAGCTGAGAAATCATTACTATTTACGAAAGATTTCGTGCCAAGGCCTAGTGCAACTGGTTATAATGATATGACGCTGGTCTTAAACAAGAAAACTCCTTTGCCGAAGATTTTGAGCCTAGGCTAAATCTTTCTGTGTACCATGATTGATATTGCATATAATGTGTATTATGTCTCTTTCTGCTTTGTGTTTGTGCTTTTATGAAATAAAAGTGTGTAACCATACTTGATGGTTGTATTGAAGTGTTTTTTAATTTTATCATGTGTTCTAAGCAATGATCAATATGCTCGGCTTCCTTTTAGCTAGTTTGTTTACAACATTTTGTGGGGTTAATATGAGTGGTTACTCAATTTTTACTTTATATTTTTATATTAAAGAAATTACTCAACCCTACCTAAATATAAGGAACGTAAATGAACTATTTTCTGTTACCAAAAAGCCACTCAACTCTTCCGAGGTATCACATAAAGTCACTAGGAGGAAATTAATGTGACATTTTCTATGATAGACTTTTGGTTAAAAAATTAATTAATTAGTGATTTTCTATGATGCTTAGGCAGAGAATGAATTTTTTTTATTACAACAAATGATTTAGTGACTTTCTATGATACTTAGACAAAATTGAGTAATTTTTTTATTACAAAAATATTTTAGAGACTTCAGTGAAATAAAATAAAAATTGAATTACTATTAGAAAAAGAATTGTCTTGTTTAAGTTGGCTAATTTTTGTATCGCTAACTAGTTAACTCAAGTTGTATATCGTCGGGCTTGTGATCGTTGAGAAAAAAAATAAAAGAGATCGGGGAAGTAATATTCGTATTCAGTTCATCAGCCGGCATTCTCACGTATATTATTATATATATGGCCAAATTGCTTGCTTTCTTTCCTTTTTTATTATATACATTTTTAAATAATTTATGTCATATTGGTAGGAAGTTTGTCTTAAACTCAAGGTGGAGTTTGTTTCGAAAAGAAGCAGTGATCACACAGAAGAGAACTTTGAGAATATTGGAAAGGTTTCACGACAGATAAGCCAATGACTGAAGCATTCCAGCTTCTTAATTGTGCTTTGGCATTCAGTTCCTATCTATGGAGAAAATTACTTCATCGTTACTGTCACGATCCGGATTTTCCACCCTCGGGAGTCGTGATGGCGCCTACTAATGTAAGCTAGGCAAGTCAATCCTTAACTGCTTACTTACATATGTAACATATAATGAGAGAATTAACATATGTCTCTACCCAAGAACTGGTGTCACATTACTCACGAATTTCTAAGAGTACTAAATACAACCGTTTGAAAGAAAATATAAACTGTTTGTCTCGAATACATGAGAATACAGACCGAAATAAAAGATAGAGGAGACGTCGGGCCTGCGGACGCCTGCAAAGCTACCTCAGTGTCTCACTGGACTGAAGGCTGGCTCCCGCGCTATTGTTGTTGTCCAAGACCTAGATCTATGCAAAAGAGCACAGAGTGTAGTATCAGCACAACCGACCCCATGTGCTGGTAAGTGTCTAGCCTAACCCCGGCGAGGTAGTGACGAGGCTAGGACTAGACTCCAGATAAACCTGTGCAGTTATACAATATATGGCGGAAAAGTAGACAAGTAATAAGCAGTTAAAGCTGGGGAAGGGAAACATGCTTCATGGATAGCAGTTAAAAGAAAATAACAGGGAATAATAAGGACGCTACCAATATAATTTCTATCACAATTGAAGAAAATAAAGGCAACTTTCACTTTCATCTTGTTGCAGGCGTGCAACCCGATCCTATTTCTCATATCTC